CATATGGGTGTCAGGGGCCTAAGCAATTGGGCTATGTTCTGCTGCATTCCCAGGTGCATTAGAAGGGAGTTGGGGGCCGACGCTGTGGCATAGCTAGTAAAGCCACAGCCTGCAGGGCCGGCATCCCATATGGGTACTGGTTGCAGTCCCGGCAGCTCCACTTTTTTTTTTAAAGATTTATGAATTTATTTGAAAGTCAGTTACACAGAGAGAGAAGGAGAGGCAGAGAAAAAGAGAGAGAGAGAGAGAGAGAGAGAGAGAGAGAGAGAAAGAGTTCTTCCATCTGCTGGTTCTCTCCCCAGATGACCGCAACGGCTGGAGCTGCACCGATCCAAAGCCAGGAGCCAGGAGCTTCTTCCGGGTCTCCCGTGCAGGTTCAGGGGCCCAAACACTTGAGCCATCTTCTACTGCTTTCCCAGGCCACAGCAGAGAGCTGGATGGGAAGTGGAGCAGCCAGGACTCAAACTGGCGCCCATATGGGATGCCGGCACTGCAGGTGGCTGATTTACCCACTACACCACAGTGCCAGCCCCAGCTCCACTTCTGATCCAGCTCTCTGCTATGGCCTGGGAAAGCAGCCGAACATGGCTCAAGTCCTTGAGTCCCTGCATCCGTGTAGGAAAACCGGAAGAAGCTCCTAGCTCCTGGCTTCAGATCAGCACAGCTCCCGCCGTTATGGCCATCTGTGGAGCAAACCAGCAGATGAAAAACCTCTCTCTCTCTCCCTGACTCTCTGTGTAACTCTCTCTGTAACTCTGCCTTTCAAATCAATAAATAAATCCTTTTTTAAAAAAATAAAAAAGACCCTACAACAAAAATCAATTTGCAGACATACCACTCACAAACACAGATGTCAAAATTTTAAGTAAATAGGTGTTGGCGCTGTTGCATAGTAGGTTAAGCATCCTCCTGCGGTACCATCATTCCACGTGGGCACTGTTTGGAGTCCCAGCTGCTCCATTTCTAATCCAGCTCCATGCTTATAGTCTTGGAAAGCAGTAGAAGATGGCCAAAGTGCTTGGGCCCCTGCACCCTTGTGAGAGACTTGGAAGAAGCTCCTGCCTCCTGGCTTTGGATCAGCCCAACTTTTGGGAAGTGAACCAGCAGATGCAAGACTCTCTCTCTCTCCCCCCTCCCCTGTGTAACTCTGCTTTTCAAGAAAATAAATAAATCTTAAAATCAAAAGAAGAAGGGAGTTGGATCAAAAGTAAAGCAGCTGGGAACTGCAATGTTGCATGCCTTCACTGCAAGCCACAGGTTAACCCACTATGCAAAAACACCTGCCCCAAATGGTTCTCTCTTGACAGTGGAGAAATCATGCTCAAATGCTTATTACTTTGAAGCAAATTCCAAGTTACCAACTTTTCAGATCTGATTTACAGTTAAAAGTGACTGATCAATGGGAATACAAAAGCAGTACCCTATATCTTCTTAAACAATATGTCTTTCTAAACTGTTGAAATCTTTACTTAATGTATGCTAAACTGATCTTATGTATATAAAGAGAATCGAAAATGAATCTTGATGTGAATGGAAGGGGAGAGGGAGAGGGAAAGGGAAGGGTTGCGGGTGGGAGGGACGTTATGGGGGGGAAGCCATTGTAATCCATAAGCTGTACTTTGGAAATTTATATTCATTAAATAAAAGTTTAAAAAAAAAACAGTATGTCTTTCTCTGAAATTTCTAAAGTCACACAGATGTTTAAACGCTGCCATCTTAATGTTAAACATTGGTGGATTACAGGTGTAGATGATATAATCTGGTGTCTGAGTGGTAGATCTGGTGGGAAATCACCGGGTGCATGCCTTAGGAGATTGGTTCTCACCAGAGGGTTGGTCGTTTGAGCTGAGTTCAGCCTACCCTCTCTCTCTGCCTCCTGGCTGACCGTATAACTGTCCCTCTGCACCCATTCCGAAATGGACAGCCCCCATCAGGGGCCAGACTATGGAGTTCCCCAATCCAGAACTGTGATCCTCCAAATTACAAGCAAATTGCAAGCCAAAAATAACCCTTTTCTTCCCAATAAGCTCTTCTCAGATATTTTAGTTAAAATAAGAGAAAACTGACCTGTATAGAAAATTGGTACTAAGAAGTGTGATCATTATTATTAACTATCCCTGAAGATGCAGAAGAGTCTTTGGAACTGCTTTTCTGGGGAAGGTTGGAGGAATTTGGAGGAGTATACTAGAAAAGACTAGAATGCCGTAAGGAGAGCATTGAGGGTGATTCTGATAAAGACTCGGAAGACTGAAGTGCTGGAAGAAATATGGGTGATGAAGGCCATGCTTGGTGGCATTGTCAGTGGAAATGAAGATGCTGTTAGGAGTTAGACTAAAGACTACCCTTGCTCCACTGTGGTAAAGAACCGGGATTTCTTGTGTCACTGCCCTGAGACTTTGCAGGAGGCTGAACATAAAGATGATGGACACGTCTGTTAGGTGGAGGAGATTTCAAGGCGGCAAAGCATTCAGGCTGCAGCACGGGCATTGCTGTTACTAAGTCATACAGTGAGAATCAGGAGGCAAAGGTGAGCAGGACAGATTCGGAAAACTCACAGCCTGGCCAGGGAAGGAATGAAGAGAAAGTGATGTGTTTGGGACAAGAGGCCATAGAGCTACTGCTTGCTAAAGAGATTAGTTCAGGTTTAGGGAAGCCTTGCATTAATGAGCAATACAATGGGAAAAAGACCCCAAGGGTACAACAGAGAACTTGCAATCTGCCCCAACCATCACAGGTCCATCAGAAAAGTGCGCATTTGTTTCCAAGGTCTTTCAGGGTAGAATCCTTTCACAAAGCAGCTCCTGATCCTGATTTGCCTGCAAATTGCTCAAAGACTGCAGCAGCTGGGGTGTTCCCTGCTGGTGACAGACCTTGACACATGATGCTGGGTTTGCAGCCAGGTAGAAGGCAAGAGTTACAGGCTCATGGCTGCTTCCACCAAGCTTTCAATGAAAAGCCTAGGAGGCCAGGCACAGTCGTGCTGCAAGATGGGAATGCATGGAGCAGCGCATAGTGAGGCTGTTGAGAGCAGAGCCGCTGAGGAAACGCCAGAAACGTAGCAACATGAGAAACCCACCATGAAAATCTGTGAGCCGTGTCCAGGTCAGCCAGGGAAAGCCACAGACATCAGCATGTAACCCGAGAGAGCAGCCACAAGGTGCAGTCGGGCAGAGTTGGTGTGGGATAGGCAGGCAGTCATATAGGGAACAGAAGAGCTGGGAGGGCTCCCACAGTTTCTGTCTCTAGCCTGCACCCCTAAATCCACCTCCTCGTCGGCCTACTCAGCACACCCACTTTCCTAAGGAGCACCTGAGTCTTCCAGCATAATGAAGATACCAAGACAAGCAATGTACTCAGAGCCCCACGTGGAGACGCCATGCATATTGCCCAGAGGACCTCACCATGCACACCGAACCCCACCCAAACTCAGCCCCATTTGTATTTCAATTAGGTCACCACCCCCTACCCAGGAAAGGAGGGGAGGACAAACGAGGGTGGAGGACATTCCTCTCCTCATAGGTGCAGCTCGCTCTTCCTCCTCCTCCTTTTCCCTCTCCTCACAGGTGGATTCTTGTGGCGTGTAGCTTTCAACACTGGGCTGTCCACACCTGCATCTGAATTTGTATGTACTCTCTCTTTAAATAAATCCTGCTCCCATTTTTACATTTTATCTAAGTTTCTGCTTAAATTTCTCACACATGAGGGCAACAACCTGGAATTCAGCAGCAGGGAAACCATGTTCCCACAACAGAGCTATGGAGACACGGAGGCCCCTCCTGGATTTCAAGGGACGTTGTAAGCAAACTGAGGACTGAGCTAGAGATTCGTCTCAGGGACGGAGTCACTGCAATGAGCCTCCACCAGAGCATTGCCAAGTAGAAATCTGGGGCAACACTGCTGCAGTTTCCACAGAAATGAGTTGCCTCAGTTATCCCACAGAACTGAGAGCTATCTCCGAGAGAGAGAGAACTGAAGTAGGGGCAGCTAGCAAAGCTGCAGAGTGCTCAGCCCCCAACAATGTGCCAAGGATTCTGGACATGGAATTCAAGACTTAATGTTTACCCAACAGAGTTTCACTCTTGCTTTCTCCCTATTAATCCTTTCTACTTCCTATCCTATTTAGGAGGAAAATGTGTAACTTTTGCCTGCCTCACTATTTTATCTTGGAAATAAGTAACTTGTTTTCAATTATGTAGCTTGCCCAGCTCTGGGAGTTCACCTGGAGCCTCAGATGACTTTTAAATTAATGTAGGACTGAGTTAAGACTTTGGAACTTCAAGGGATGCTGCATGTGAGACTGAGTTTTGGAGAGCAAGGGGTGGAATATTACAGATTGAATAGAATGTGACTGTCCAAACTCACACACATGTTTCAGTTCTACTGTCTTAATGTTAAGGGTTGATGAATTAAGGGTGGAGATTTGCTCTAATTGTGGCTCCTGAGAGGTGTGTCTTGTGGGAAGTCTTTGGGTCACTGGGGTCGTGCCCTTGAAGAGTTGTTGTCAGGAGAGGGTTGATTACTGGAGCCAAGTTTACCAGCTTCCTTCTCCACTTCCTCACTTACCACGGGACCACTGCTCCTCACCTACTTTGTTCAGTCTCCACCAACCACCAGGCTATGGGCACATGCGATCCTGAACTGTGACCTCCAAACTATAAGGACAAATAAACCTTTTCCTTCCCAAGAGCCTCCTCCTTGGAACTGAACAAAAAGCTAATACTCCTCTCCACACCTTTATTGTAATAGTATACTAAGGAGGCCCATTGGTTTTTATGTCTGTACAGAGTTTACAACTGTGGCTACCTGATTGTTTAGACAAGGGCCAAAAGCAGTTTTGATTTACTTTCCCAGCTTGTGTGCCATCATAAAGTTTTTATCATTTGTTTCAATTGCCACAGCCTGTATTCAGTTTTTATGCATTGCCTCCTTAAGGTTCTGATTTCGTTTTCTTTCATTTTTAATTGACAAGAAAAAAACTGCACATATTGTAGTGTGCGACATGATGGTTTGATATTTGCATACATGTAGAACAGCCAAATCAATGCCTTTAACATATGCATTATTTCTCTTATTTATCAGCTAGGAATGAAAACTCTTGTTGCTTGGTGATGTGATCCTCCCTCTCTTTTCCAGTTCGCTTCCTTGCAGCTGTATGATGCCGACAGTATTTCACCTTATTTGAGAAAAGTGTGTTAAAGTGCTGTAGCACCGGGTGATATCCGATGCAGAGGAGGCTGCAAGGGTTGCATCTAAATAATAGCTGCAAACAATGCAGAGAAGGCACCGCCGTCAGTATTGAGACTTCCAGGCAAAGCCAGGGGCCAAGGAGGCCATAGACAGGACATTTTCTGTAGGTCACTGAACCAGGAGGGAGCCAGGTCCTGAGGAACCACTCTCTGTGAGAAAGAATAGGAGCCTTCCAGAAAAGATGTCATGATGAAGAATCAGGGACGGAGGCTCTTCGATGTGTCACCATCTTCACTCCGGGCCAGGAGCCTTGCAGGGGACAGAGGCAAGGCTGTACTCAGAGCTGACTGTGACAATGGTTGCTTTCCCTCCTCTCTTGGGGCTCCGGGTAATCACACTGCAGTAAAGAGAAAAAAAAAAAGAAAAAGAAAAATCTAAAGTCTCCCTGGTCAAAGGTAGCTCAGAGCACACAACTTTTTTTCATGAATAAAAGAAGTTTTACTGAAAACAGCTAGGTCAGAAGAATGGCTCCAAAACCTTGCCCATTTATTTCTGTCTCCCGTCTTGTCAACTCTGTCACCTGGTTAAGGTAAACTGAATCTGTGTCATGTAACTTTTTTTTTAGCTTTTATTTATGTGTCATATAAGTATGTTCCTAAATCTGTACATATGAAATACTTAAAACTTGTGTTACTTTTAAAAAGTTTAACTTGTATAACTTTTTTTAAAAGGAGCTAAAGGAGCATTACCTGTTGGCTGAAGCCCAGAGCAACCTGGGAAAGAGAGAGGAAGAATCATACCTAAAACTCCTGGAGGGGGCCGGCACTGTGGCATAGTAGGCTAAACCACCACCTTCAGCACCAGTATCCCATATGGGCTCTCACCTTATGGACTGAGAAAGCAGCAAAAGATGGCCCAAGTGCTTGGGCCCCTGCACCTGCATGGGAGACCCAGAAAAAGCTCCTGTCTCCTGGATTTAGATTGGCCCAACCCTGGCCATTGCAGCCATGTGGGGAGTGATCCAGCAGACGGAAGACCTTTCTCTCTGTCTCTCCTCCACTCTTTGTCTATAATTCTGCCTCTCAAATAAATAAATAAATAAATATTTTTTAAAAGTCATGGAGGCAGGGCCGGCGCCGCGGCTCAATAGGCTAATCCTCCACCTTGCAGCGCTGGCACACCAGGTTCTAGTCCCGGTCGGGGCGCCGGATTCTGTCCCAGTTGCACCCTTCCAGGCCAGCCCTCTGCTGTGGCCCGGGAGTGCAGTGGAGGATGGCCCAAGTCCTTGGGCCCTGCACCCAATGGGAGACCAGGAGAAGCACCTGGCTCCTGGCTTCAGATCAGCGTGGTGCGCCCGTAGCAGTGCACCAGCCGCGGTGGCCATTGGAGGGTGAACCAACAGCAAAGGAAGACCTTTCTCTCTGTCTCTCTCTCACTGTCCACTCTGCCTGTCAAAAAAAAAAAAAAAAGTCATGGAGGCAAACATTTCCCCAAATACAATGTTCCCAGCCCAAGATCTGTCATATTTCTCTATCACTGCATTCCACACCAACCAAGTCAAAGAGCAGACACTAAGCACCTGTGACCAATGCAGCTGCTGTTGCACAAATCAAGGGCACTTTAGTTAGCCCTAGTGGCTCTTACATCATTGGCCCCAGGATTCTGACTCACAAAACTCTATGCTTATTAACCTTTTCTTATCTCCATGAAGCATAACCCGTCAGGCTTTGAAACAGTCACCAGGAGTGATTGCTTTCCGATTTTCAGGAAATTGGGGGGAAAAAAGATTTTGCACAGTACCAGTGATTTACAAATGACTAGTTTGAGCGAAGCCACATTTCCTTCCCAAGAAAATTCTGCAGCGTGCTCACCACCATCAGGACTTACCCTTCTGAGTCCTGCAGTAGATGAACAGCCCCACACCCAGGAAGAACAGACCCAGCACCACGCCCCCAATTCCACTCAGCTGCTTGCTGTGAGCAGATTCCGACTGTACCCCTGGGAGAAAAAGCCATAGTTAGACATTTTGATCAGAGACCCAATCTCTCTAGTTGGGACCCTGAGATTTAGAGCTCTTAGATTTAGTGACTTTTGTCCAAAATCCAAACACTTCAATCAAGTCCTGGGGATGTAGAGCTTTGAGAATGGGAGAAGTAACTCAAACTAGAAGAGCAACCATGACTAAGCATCTCTGGGAACAAAAAAAAAAATTATTTTAATCTCACTGAGTAGCTACAAGCATCAGGCATTTAACTCATTGAAATACCACAACTCTGAAAAGACAGCTAATGTGTGAGGAGTTTGAGATTAAGGGAGGCTAAGGGGCTTGCCCAGGATGGCAGAGCTAATGAAAGGCAGAGCTGAGACCAGACTCTGCTCACTTCAGGAAGACCCTGCACAGCAGTTCTCCCTGGTGCCTGCCTTCTGCCTCTCTGTACACCCAGGCTCCAGGATCCAGCAGGAGTCCAGAGGAAAGTGGAAAGAGCAAGGAGGTTTCCATTAAAGTTTTGTGCAGCCACATCCTTTTCAATCCATAATGTTCCCTCCTCGCTCTGCAAAACTCACTCTCACATGCAACATTCCATCCACAGGAGTCCCAAAGTCTTAACTGAGTCCAACATTAATTTAAAACTCATCTGAGACTCAAGGTGAACTCCCAAAGCTGGGAAACCATATAATCAAAAAGAAGTTACTTATTTCCAAATAAAATGGTCAGGCAAGCAAAATTTGGGGGCTGAGTACCCTATGGCTTGGGTCTGGAGTCCATGGCCAAGAGGATGACCAGGATGCGTGTGATATCACAGGAAGCTCAAAGCAGAGGCAGCCTCTTTCCCACCTGCCAAGTGAAATTATCTTCTAAGGGAGCAGGTGTTTGTAGAGACCACCACAAGGTCACCCTCAGTGACCTGAAGGAGAGGTGTGCATGCAGCAGATGTAGACACAGTGCGGGGAGGGCAGCCTGACACTCGGCCACAGGCAGAGTCCCCTTCCTGGAGGGGGAGGGCTTTACGGGTCGGGAAGCTGCTCACTCCATTCCACGGTGATGGGGCTGGTCACGCTCGGGTGCTCCACCTGGCACGTGTACACCTCTCCACTCTGAGGAACTGTCTCAAGCATCACCAGGGTCTGGAAGGTCCAGTCTCCATTACAGATCAGGCCTGTGGACACCACCCCAGCCTCCTCTTCCTCTCCATTCCGGAACCACCGCACTTCAATGTGGCCTGGATAGAAGCCACTCACAGCGCAGACCAGGAGGTTGTGGTGCTGCAGGGGCTGCGTCTTTGCAGGGTACACGGTCACCTTCGGCACAACTAGGAGGCAGAGGGAGAGGGGTGAGTGAGGCCGGCACAGCAGTTCTCCTTGGTGGTTGTTTTCTGCCTCTCTCCACACCAGGCTCCAGTCTAGAGCAGGAGTCCAGAGGAGAGGGGAAGGAGCAAGGTTTCCGTGAAAGTTCTCATTTTACAACCATCTGTTCAACCCCTCTCCTGTGCAAAACAAGCACAGCTATTCTTAGTATTGTTACGGTTTTACAACTGTCTCTGTTTCTAAACTTACATTTGAGGTCAGGGCAGGGTCTGCATGACCAATCCCTGACACAGCCAATCTCAGCAAAGGCACTTTTGTTAAAGGAGAAAGCATTTTCATAACATTTATAAAATACAAATTTAACATTGGTGATAAATCATTATCAACAATTTTGCGGTATATTTCATTAAATAAGAACATTTACATTTTTACTTTGTCAAATAATAAATAGAATCAAAATATAAATCATAAGCTGGAGAAAATATGAATGTCAATGTCAACAAAGCATTATGCATGTTACAGCCTAGAAAAACTTATGGAACACTCAAAAAAAAAAAAAACACTCTATTCCAACCACAGAGGTAAGAGATAGCAGATAACTGAGAGCAGTCATAACCACCGGCCAATAAATGTGAAAAATGTTCAAAAACACAGACATCAAAGCAATAGACATTACAAGAACTGGCGCTGTGGCATAGCGGTTAAACTACAGCCTACTGTGCCTCATCCTGTATGGAGGCTGGTTTGAGTCTGAGGCTCCTCCACTTCCAATCCAACTCTGCCATGGCGTGGAAAGGAAATGGAAGATGGCCCAAGTGCTTGGGCCCCTGCATCCACGTGGAAGACCTGGGAGAAATTCATGGCTCCTGGCTTCAGTCTGGCCCAGCCCTGACCGTTGAGGCTACTTGGGGAGTGAACCAAAGGATGGAAGGTTTTTCTCTCTCTGTGTCTCTCCCCCGGCTCACTGTAACTGTGCATTTCAAAAAAATAAAATAAATATTTTTTAAAAGAACTAGACATTTAAATTACATATTATACTTATTATATAAATTATATATACATAAATTATAACATGTAATTATAATATAAATATTATTTAATAACATAAATTATATATAAAACTTTTTAGAGTATACTTGGCTGTCAGTATCGCCAGGTTTGGTACAGAGGGATTCAACTGTCTAGGGATGGAAAATACTTGGAAAAAGATCATTGGGAGTGCACTGAACAACTAGTTAGGCTTTTGTTTTCTATTAATATTCCCTGAACAATCGTGTGTAACTACTATCCACAAGACACACTGTACTGGGTATCCTAAGCAATCTAAAGGTGATTTTAAAGATGGGGGGAGGGCAGGTGGTATGCAAAAGCCACATCTAAGGGACTTAAGTAGCCTCTGATTTTGATTAAGTAAAGGACTCCTGGAACTACCCCTTCCCCCCATTCAAATGGTCCAGTGTATGGCCCAGTGTATTTGGAACTGTTTTCTAAAGCAGGTACCACAGGGGGAAGTGAGATAAAATGTGTTAAGGAACAGACAAGTAGGGTATGGGGCCTGCGCTCTGGCGCAGCGGGTTAACACCCTGGCCTAAAGCAAAGGCATCCCATATGGTCACCAGTTCGAGTCCCAGCTGCTCCACCCCCAATCCAGCTCTCTCCCTGTTATGGCCTGGGAAAAGCAGTAGAAGATGGCGCGACTCCTTGGGCCCCTGCACCCGCGTGGGAGACCCGGAAGAAGCTCCTGGCTTCCGATCGGAGCAGCTCAGGCTGTTGCTACCAACTGGGGAGTGAACCAGTGTATAGAAGATCTCTCTCTCTCTCTCTTTCCCTCTCCTCTCTCTGTGTAACTCTGACTTTCAAATAAATAAATCTTTAAAAAAAAAAAAAAAAAGGAATCGGTGTACCTGCTTAAATCCTATTGGCACTATTAAAATAGTAACATCAGTATGTTAAGCTAAATTATAGCTCTAAGCCGAATTAACAATCATTTTAACTATGAGAAATGTCACACTAAGATAGCAGTGTAATTCGACCTGAAATAAACATCTAAGGGCTGGAGGTGCCGGAAGTTCGCGCCCGGCTCTCCCACCTCGCCGCCGCCCAGCGAAGCTCTCCAGCGCCAGGTAGTTGTATCTGCAAAACGTGTCCACCGCGGCCCTCCTGTCCTCCAGTCTGTCCTCGCGCTGGTTCCAGGCATCCGCCTCCGGCCGGCCCAGCTCCGTCAGCGCCCTGAACTCCCCCACGTCGCTGTCGAAGCGCAGGGTCTCCTCCCGGTTGTAGAAGTGCCTCTCCACGTACCGCACCCGCTGCGTCCCGTTGGAGAAATGACACTCATACTTCATCTGCAGCATGAAACGGGCTGCGGGGACACAGACACCGCGTCACACGGGCGGCCCCCCGGGAGAGACCGATGGCGACGCCCGCCTGCCCGGGCGCCCTGGGAGGAGGCGGACCCAGGATAGCCCTGGTGGACCCCACCGCCCCCAACGCCCTGCGCCCTGCGTCCCGCCCCAGCCTTAGAGGGAGGGAGACCCCTGGGGCGGGAAACCCCTCTGAGCTGCAGGGTCCGGACCCCTCCGCCTCCGCGCCGCCCAGTAAAAGTGACGGACGAAACCAACACATGCAGGTGTGCACGGGACTGAGCCAAGTGAGGACAGGTTCGGAATCCAGAACCGAGAACCATGTGTTGACCTGGGCTACGGGAGGGAGCCGAGAAGGACCCTGTGTGGAGTGATGTTTACTGCGGGGCACGAAAAATTGAACTGGAGTGAGCTAGAGGAAGAGTGCGTGGTGTGTGTGTGCGTGTGTGCGTGCGCGCATGCGTAAGAAAGGAAATGTCACGACCCAGAGTTTGAGAGAAAAGACGCGCTAAACCGGACAAAGCCGGACACATGGCACAGAAGGAGACGGTGAAAGACTGTGTGCACCGTCCTGGGTCGCCGTCGGCATTCAGGATTTACAACAAGTAATGGTGACGTAGGGTGGAAGTTTAGGAGGTGAACTCTGGTTCTGTCACGCGTCCACGGGCTTTTCAACGGAAATTTGATGCCAAATTCATTTGGAAACTCAGACTCGATGGGGTGCGGGGAAGGCTGTGCCTCAGAGCTCTCTGGGCTCATCCACCACCTGTGCTTCTACTGTTTGCATTCATGCAGACATACATGCAAGGGTAACACACCGTGTGAGTGAATCCCTGCATGAATTCACCATACACATGTGCGTCTTAAATTTTTGCTTTTAACTAATTAAACAGATAAAAGGTCATTGACAGGTTAAAAAAGTTAATCCTGTGGTTAAAAGTGAAACAAGTAAATGAGCGTATCTGACAAGACCAGTAATACTGCATATAGAATTTCTGCAGAAGTTTGAGGCATTTTACTGAAGAATATTTATAGCAGACATCACCATTTATGTCTCACAAAGGCAAGTTGTTGAAAGGTTAAAGAGAAGGGAATGACTAAGAACTCACAACATACTAAGCATTGAATAAGGTAAAAATAAATAAATAAATAATGCAGGCCTTGGACTTACAATGATCTAGTGGATTCAACAAGAAAGCTGACTTTATGCAAATACATAATTTTGGTTTTTTATTACTCTGTTTTCTAATAAAAAAAGGTAAAATAACTATGAAAACCTGAATTGTGGGGTGTGTATTTATATTAATGTGAGAGTCTAGAAGTTTCAGAATCAGCACCGTGCACAGCACAGCACAGTTATTTCAAGAACAGCACTGTTTACATTGTGGACCTGATATTTTGTCAAATGCCCAATGCTGGAAGAATGGGGGAAACGAGAGGGAAGCTGTCCCTGGGTGAGAACTGTTAGTGTGAACCATCTGAAAAGCCAGAGTTCATTACACAACATCGGAGAACCACATTGCAAAAATGGCCAACATTGTATCTGATGAAAGAAAGCCTGAACAAACTGATGTTTCTGGAGAAACAGTTCTAAACCTGGACCAGGACGGGTTCCTCACATTTCCACCTTTCCTCTGATCACCCTCAGTGGATCACTCGTCCCTTGGAGCACATATGGCTGTCCTCTCAGGACCCTTGCCTCAGCTATAAGTCCCTTTTTCATGGAAGCTCCCTGGTCTCTGGAACTGAAGATGTGAGATTCCAATGCTTTTGATCCCTTCACCCTGCCCCGCTTTTTTCACAGCACTCCCTGCTCTGTGAAGTTCTCTTCTTTGCCAAATCCATGTTGGGTTCTTGCCTTTCTCGTCTGTCATTAAGTTCCATGAGGGGCCGGCGCCGCGGCTCACTAGGCTAATCCTCCGTCTGCGGCACCATCACCCCGGGTTCTAGTCCCGGTCGGGGCGCCGGATTCTGTCCCGGTTGCCCCTCTTCCAGGCCAGCTCTCTGCTGTGGCCAGGGAGTGCAGTGGAGGATGGCCCAAGTGCTTGGGCCCTGCACCCCATGGGAGACCAGGAAAAGCACCTGGCTCCTGGCTTCTGCCATCGGATCAGCGCGGTGCGCCGGCCGCAGCGCGCCGGCCGCGGCGGCCATTGGAGGGTGAGCCAACGGCAAAGGAAGACCTTTCTCTCTGTCTCTCTCTCTCACTGTCCACTCTGCCTGTCAAAAAAAAAAAAAAAAAAAAAAAAAAAAAAACAAAACAAAACAAAACAAAAAAAAGTTCCATGAGGTTAGACACCCTTTCCGTCTTATTCAAAAGGAATTCTCTGAGCACAGAATGGGGTTCAGGATATATGCTCAGTGCCATACCTGTGCTCCAAATGAACAAATCAGATTCCTGGAAATGGATCATTGTCCCTGGAAAGCAAGAAGGGACTTAAACTCCCCTTCTCTTTTGTTCTCATCAACACATTTGCCCCCTCCCATTTTCTGTGGAAAGTCAGACAAACTTCCTCTTTGTACTCCTTCCAACCAGACATATTCACAAGCAAGGAAAAGATGATTTTAAGAAAGAGGGAAACTTCAGCCGGTGCTAGGCACAATGGGTTAATCCTCCGTCTGTGGTGCCAGCATCCCCTGTGGGTGCCAGTTCTAGTCCCGGCTGCTCCTCTTCCCCTTGGCTCTCTGCGGTGGCCTGGGAAGGCAGTAGAGGATGGCCCAAGTCCTTGGGTCCCTGCACCCACATGGGAGACCTGGAAAAGGCTCCTGGCTCAAGGCTTTGGATCGGCGCAGCTCCGGCCATTGCAGCCATTTGGGGAGTGAACCAGCAGACAGAAGACCTTTCTCTCTGTCTCTCCCTCTCACTGTCTGTGACTCTATCTCTCAAATAAATAAATAAACTTAAAAAAAAAGAAAGAGGGAAACTTTCATTGTTTCCTCTCCTCTGATGGATCTCCTACAGTGCAGAGGATCTGTGAAAAATCGGAGATTTTTAGTAATGGTGATCACATAGCTAGCGAAAGAATAGGGAGGAGCTGGAGGTAGAAAAAATGAGATGTGGTTATTGCGAGGTGTGAGGAATGACCCCATGAAATTTAGGATGACACACCCGGAGGCCAGTGAGTTCCCTTGACTTTCTTCTGGGCTTTCAGGACTGTAGGATGCTAAAAGCCTTCACATGGTCTCTGTACCACTGTGTTATGGGTATAGGAGATGGACTCAAGTGAAACTGCTGAATTTCTTATAATATATCCTACATTAATTGAATCTTTTCTGTGGGCTTCAGTCAGAAAACGTAGAAGACATACTAGAAACATCATATAGAATGGGTCACATAAGTTTTTAGTGAAACCCAACTTCAGCCAGGCTTTCAGAAGATGCTTTACATTCTTCAAGGCACCAAACAGTGACTCCTAAGTGCCGTTCCAAACACTAAGGATCATTGCTTCCACTGCAAGGTGCTTTCCACAGCAGAGAGAACACTAATCGACTTCCACCAGAGAATCTCACGTTCAGGGGTATAGGCTTCATAAACATTGGAATTCAGGGAGAAAAGAGAGATAATGGGAGATAATAACGCCACACCTAAGGAAAGACACCAACGTAAAGGATCCTGCAGAGCACGTAAGACTTGTTCTTTCAGGATTCCTTCACAGTCATTTTGGTTCCCTGTGAAACATCCAGAGAAACCCTCTTTTTCATGTCACAACCCAGCAGAATAAATGGAAGTGCTGTATGAGGTATTAATTTAAGATCATTATGTCTGAATGCTCTCAAGACTCTGAAGAAACGTGGTGCAAGGCTGGCGAAGGTAAACTGGAGGAGAGTTGGGAAGAAATGGCCTGAACAGGAGGCCCCTTATGCAGCTCTCACAGAGAGGGCAAGCATTCATGGTCCTCTTCAGAGAAGTAATGTAGGATACATGTGGTAAAGACAGGTGGTCATTGCAGAAAATGTATCATTTTTTAAAGAAACACAGCCCGGGCACAGTGACAAAGTAACTCCCTCCCGTCCCCACCCAATAATAACCCAGCATCGAAAACATGCACTTACATAGGAGGTCCCCAGCCAAAGCCGGGGTGGGGCTCAGCACCAGCAGTGTCACAGTCAGAGCTGCCAGGCAGGGGCCTCGGGAGAGCCAAGGACACAGCATCCTGGAGAGCAGGAGGGGCCTGGTGCCAGGGGAGCAGGCGAGTCTCACTGTGACAACTCTGACCCGGGCACATTTCAAATAATAGAAAACAAGATACTCCTTTCTTTACTACAGAGTTGAGTGATGATAATCTGGAGAACCAATCAGCACAGGAGATGAAAAGCACCATCGGTTGCTGGTCAGAGATTCAGTAAGGAAGTCTTCTTCTGAAATTTACAGTTTCTATCATTTAAGGGATTGTTTTGATTTAATGTTGTTAAGTTTAAACCTTGCAGATTCAAAAATTTAATTGGGCCCTACTGTGAACCAGCTCTGAGCCTTGTAGGAGCCTTCACCTCTCACGGGAGAGCTGTTTGCCCAGCTGAATGTGTGAAGATGCTTAGCAGTACAGAGGTGGAGGGAAGAGGACCTTTAATCTGGTCCTTATTATACATAACTCAGTGTTATGTACATAGGAAGATTAACTTCTCACTGTTCAAATGAAGAAAATTGATCATCCTATACTTCAATATTAATGCAATATAAGGAAAATGCCAGGCTGAACTTATTTATGGTAAATGAAACAAAACATTCTTGGGAACGAATGAGTGATATCAGAAGCACAGAGTTTGTTTAACAACAGGCAGGGAGAATTTGTAACTCCACGGAATGTCTTGAATCCTATCACTTGTCATGTAATAGGACTTATTTGTGGCCACCTGGGGAAAATTGGCCCTGGTGGCCAACAGCAGGCCATAGCAAAGATGGTTGTCACTGGGCCAAGAAGTCTTAGAATGTTCTCACAAGCTATCAGAAAATAACAACACTAATCCAGAAAGTGAGAGCAATTTACTGGTCTCATTAACTAAGGAAAAAAAATAACAAGAAATGGATAACAGGGCCAATTTCTCCTCACCATGGGAGATATGTATCCCAACAGAGGATTGTGTCTATTTTATAATTCTAAATTTTTATTTACTTTCGTTTTATTTTAAAGGCAAAAATAGAGAAATTGAAGCAGAAACAGACTGACAGAAATCTTCCATCCACTAGTTCGCTCTCCAAAGTTGCACAAGGTTGGACCAGTCCAAAGCCAGGAGGTGTGTGTTAAATCAGGTCTTCCATGCAGTGGCAGGGACCCAGCTAGCTGAGCAAACACCTGCTGCCTCCCAGAGTGCACATCAGCAGGAAAGTGGATCAGAAGCAGGGATCCAGGACGCGACCGGTGCTCCAACGTGGGATGTAAGCATCCCAGGTGGCATCTTGACCACTGTGCCAAAGTCTGCCCCCAGGGCTGGGTCTTGTAAAAGCCATGCTAGTATCCAACAAGCTTCTCAGGACCCTGCCCACCATGATCTCAGCAAAACTCTCTACTGAGAAAATTCAGGTGGAGCCAGACTTTACACCATGGCGTTTTCCTAGTCAGGCCTTCCACAACTTCCAATGCCATTCTGTGAGTCAACTTATCTGTGTTTCATAATACTTTAGATATAACTCCCCTCACATTTTTCCAAGCAAGAATAGTTTACATTGAATAGTCACAGAGGGAACTGTTAGAATTCTCATAAGCTTGTCTGTTATTATTGAAAATAGAAATAATTTTACTTTTCTTTCGCATTGATGTAGCTATTTTGTGAATTGTGCTGTGATAAAATAACTGCCTCTTTATCTATTACAATAGGCATATCATTTCCCAAAATTCCATTTCCATGTTCCACTAGCCATGGCACAATGATTCCTGGTGTTGTGACAGTGAAGAAATGAATGAGGAGCGGGAGTTTGGCATAGCAGTAAAGGAGCCACTAGGAAAAACCACATCAAATGTCATACGCCTGGATTTCAGTCCTGGCTCTGGTCCAATTCTATCTTCCTGCTAATGTGCACCGTGGGAGGCAGCAGGCAATGTCTCAAGTAACTGGATCTCTACCACCCACATAGGAGACTCAGATTGAACTCTATACCTCTGGTCTTAGCCTGGCCCATCCTCTGAGTCCCAGAGCATTTAGGGAGAGATTGAACCAACAGATGGAAGACACCTCTCTCTCTTCCTGTTTCTCCATGTCTCTGCATTTAAAATAAATAGAAAAAAATGTATCTTGGCTATTTAAAAAAAAGATGATGAATCTTTCCAGCCTTACCAACTTTTACAATTTATCCTGTAAAGTAAGTGCCTCAGTGTTGTTTGGTTATTCAAAATAAATAATAGCCTTTTAGTTGTTATTTTGTTAATACTCCATTTTGATAAATGAACAGATTTCTACTATGTGAAAGTTAACTAGCTAGTACTTATTAACATTTTACCTAAATGAAATCAACTTGAATGTTTGCAAAAGATTTCCCAAGGAGGAGAATGAGCTGACTCTATTGTGCTGCAGCACTTCCTGTGCAATGTGACTGTAAACAAAGCAAGTGCTACAATAATGAGAAAACTGGAGCGTAAGATACTCATCAATTAGTGCTATCTTCTAGTCTGGGTCCTGTGATTATTTCATGGGTAATACAAGCAAGATAAGAGAGAAAAACACGGTGCCACTACATATGCATCTGGAGATTTTACAGGCAACCTGGATGCACATGGGTGGCAGAGGCCCAAGTACTCAGGCCATTTTATTCTGCCTTCCCAGGCACATTAGCAAGAAACAGGCCTGGAAGTGGAGCAGCTGGGAGTGGAGGCAGCATCCACATGGATGCTGGCATCACAGGCGGAGGCTTAAACCACTGCACCACAGGGCCAGCCCTGCTTCCTCAGCTTTCATAAAGGTAGATTGGCATATGAATAGGCTGTTCAAATCAGTGTCTGTGTGGGATAATAATTTATTTTAATATGTTGTCCTACATTGTGCTAAGAAATCTGAGGTAACTGTTGTATTTTGAGATCACTGTTATATTTAATAGGAAACATAACTTGTGCCTGAGCCATGGAACCAGTGAAGATTTTACTCCACTGCCATCTTGCCCCATGTTTTTCATGTAATCATTATACATTATTTTGTATGAAGGTAACATCTCAGATTCAGAATGGATGTCATAGGGTAACTGCACATGTGTAGTATTGCATTAATTCATGCTCTACATTTCTGATAAGGAGTCTTTCTGTATGTCCTTATTATTTCTATGACTGAATAGTCAACATGCTGCAACACAAAATGACCAAAAATTTATTAAACAATTTGGAGCATTTGCTTTGTTCTCAAAATTGTATAAGAACATTTTATGCTTTTACTTTTAGTTCAGTGAGATCCATACCCTTTACATCTCTACAGACGGAGAAAATAAATTAATGGAGATTAAGCAACATTTGCGAGGGCCCATGTTTAATGAATGAGCAATTTAAACTGAGTAACATGCAACTTAAATTCCATTCTATCAGGGCTGGCACTGTGGCTCAATAGGCTAATCCTCTGCCTGTGGTGCTGGCACCCCGGATTCTAGTCCTGGTCGGTGCGCCGGATTCTGTCCCGGTTGCTCCTCTTCCAGTCCAGCTCTCTGCTGTGGCCTGGGAGGGCAGTGGAGGATGGCCCAAGTCCTTCGGCCCTGCACCTGCATGGGAGACCAGGAGAAGCACCTGGTTCCTGGCTTCAGATCAGCGTGGTGCACCGGCCACAGTGGCCATTGAGGGGTGAACCAATGGAAAAAGGAAGACCTTTCTCTCTGTCTCTCTCTCACTGTCCACTCTGCCTGTCAAAAAAAAAAAAAAAATTATAGCCGGTGCCGCGGCTCACTAGGCTAATCCTCCGCCTTGTGGTGCCGGCACACCGGGTTCTAGTCCCGGTCGGGTCGCCGGATTCTGTCCCGGTTGCCCCTCTTCCAGGCCAGCTCTCTGCTGTGGCCAGGGAGTGCAGTAGAGGATGGCCCAAGTGCTTGGGCCCTGCACCCCATGGGAGACCAGGATAAGTACCTGGCTCCTGCCCTGGGATCAGCGTGGTGCGCCTGCCGCAGTGGCCGCAGCGGCCATTGGAGGGTGAACCAACGGCAAAGGAAGACCTTTCTCTCTGTCTCTCTCTCTCACTGTCCACTCTGCCTGTCAAAAAAAATTATATCATACAACCACGACCTTCTCAATTTCTGAATTCTTATCACTTTCATGCTCACATATGCAAATCAATAGCTACTTCTTTTTAATGAATGAGAGTATATATTTTGCGGATGTCCTATGCAACAATGCTACTGTCTTCAAAAGAGTTCTCTCATCTCCATGATTAGCATCTCCATCTCCATCTTCCACTGGAATAGTGCAATAAGCATTTACCTTGTGTAACTAGACCATTGGCTTCTGCACAGGTGTCCTTCCTATCTCAGAATTCTTAAATTCAATTTATTGTTCTCAATAATTATCTCAAAGTTCTTAGCAAAATGCAGTGCAATTTGATCAGAAAGAAAGTAGGTATGGTATCTCACTTTTTTTGGAGAAATATGTTTTGATTCATATGTAAAATTCAAACTTTATTAGAGAGATATTGGATAGAAATCATTATTGTCCTTGCATTTGAGAACAAACTGTGTCTCTAGACCCCAGAGATAATGCTCTACTATTGGCAGTTGTGTAACTACAAATAGGATAATATCACATTCAATTTGATTATCAGAAATATAGCTTACTCAGAAACTAACTAAATATGACTTGTGCAAATCTAGGAAGACCACTCTATGGTTCACTTCATTTTAGGATAAGAGGGATGGCAAGGAAAAGTCTATGTCAAGAATATACTGAAATCCAATGAAACAGAATATGAGCAAAACTTGTTCTTATAAATAACAAAAATTAACATAACAATTTACAAACCATACAAACTTATTTTTTAAATGGCTACTAGTCATGAAGTAAATTTTGAATGTTGTATGTATTTATGAGTAAAAAACAATGTACTGCTTGGTAAACTGCACATCTCATACTCTTTTCTGGTATGAATTTAATATAAGGACAGCTCAGGTAAAATAATGTGGCAACTGTCTCCAAACCATCCATCCTAGAGCTGATTTCGAGGTTGAACTGCTTCACTGACCATGTAGAGCAGCCTTGCTCAGCTTCTGCAGTGTGTAAATAACAACATATTCCCAATGAAAAGGGCACTTAGATTGGTT